TTTTTTTTTTTTTTTTCTTTTTGCGGCCGTACGCGTTGCAGCGCAAATTGCTTTAAACGTAATTATTGGCAAATCCGGTAAAAACGCGTTGGAAAAAAAGGTTTTAAGCGAAAGCAAAGGGCCCGTTCTTTTGCAAAATTGGCCTTTGCCCTTTTTAACCGGAAAAAAAGGAAAGCGGCGCTTTTTGCTCGTTTAGGTTTATTTCAAACAAATTTTTAAAAGTTTTAAACGCTTTTGGTATTGCAATTAAAAGCGCCGCAAAGGTGCCGCTTGTAGTTGCAATTGGCATATCCGGTTTTAAAGTAAGCAAGGACCGGTTTGTTGCTTTATAAGGTAAAGCTAACTTTAACGGTTTTAAAGGTTATTTTTTGGGCTTGTTATTACTTTTACCCTTTACCGGCGGAAAGCTATCGCTTTTTCCGGGCCGTATAAAGCCGTAATACGAATTGCTTATACGTGGAAAGCCCGTATTACGCATTTGCTTTGCTTTATGGCCATTTTTTAAAACATTTGGAATTAAAAATTTGTGCGCGTTTGGATTCGGCCCGTTAACCGAATCCTTTGCGGCTTTAGCTTTTGTAATTATAATAAAACCTGGCTTTTTTACCCCCAATTTTTAACTTTAATGCTTGGTAACAAAAGTAAGTGTTTAAAGCTTTTCCGGTTAAAAAAGCCCTAACGCATTAACAATTTCTTTTTGGGTTGTAAACGGGTTTTCCGTTTCGTTATATTTAACCAGCAAATTGTAAATAGCTACGTTAATTGGGTCCTTTTTTTGCTTGCTTTTAAAAAAGCTTTTTTTATTAAATTTAACGTTTTTTGTTATTATTACTTTTTTTTTAACGGAACCCAAATCCGGTAAATGTTAAAAATTTAATAATTTATTAAATATCCAACCCCGGTACAAAAGTTAATTTTAAAATGCTTAAAATCCGCGTTATAAAACCTTTTTACGTTTAAAGGATAAACTTTGCACCCGTAAGCGTAAATGCCGTCCTAATCCGGTTTTAAATCGGTTGTTAAACCCGTAAAAAGCTTTAAAGCGTAATGCCGAAACCACCCCCGAAACCAATTTAAAAGGATATCGTTAAAAGCGCGCATGCTTTTTAACGGTAAAAGATTTATATTTTTTAGCCAAACGGTAACGTAAACCGTTTTTGGCTATAAATGTTTAAAAAAATTTGCGCTTTTACGCATGCATATTTTTTTCGTAATAACGTTTTATTCCGTGCGTTCAATTATCCCGTTAAGCTTGTAAATGTATAACGGTAAAGTTTCGATAACGATGCTTTTAATTTAAATTTATTTTTTGTACTTTAAAAACCCTTTTACAAATATAATAAACTTTTTTTGGTTATATTTAAAAGTAGCAACAAACAATTCGTATTGTTTTTTTACTTACGCTTTCCATTTTTTTAAAATTTTAATAACCGTTGGTTTTTTTTTGTTTGGGAATGTAAAGTTCCAAATTTTGCCGTTATATTCGTTTATTAATAGCAAAACCCAATTTATCCTTAATTTTAACTTAAAGTAATTAAATAAATTAAACCAAACCTTTTAAAAAGGGCGTATGGCTTTTTTTATAAAACGCTTGGAAACGATAGCTATAGCGTAAATTATTGCGCATGCTTCGCATTCGATCCGTTTGGGTCCTTTAATTTTAACGTTTCGGGCGTTCCAAACAAAAGCTTCCAGCGCTTGTAATTTTAAATAACCATTGCGCAAATGCTAAAAATCGGCGGTATTTTTTTGCGGTTTCGTAAAGTCCGAAGTTGGACGCTACGTATGCGTAATACGCTTGCGGCGGAAAAACTTTTTAATTGCAAAAGCTAAAATTGTATTACCGGAAAAGGATTGCAACGTAATTAATACAAAATAAATAACAACGGGTTTGTATTTATAAAATATTACGTTATTTTTGCGCTAAAAGCATTTAACCATTATCCCGTTAATAATTTTTTTAATGCGCAAAATTGCGTTTTTCCCCCAAAATTACACCCTTTTAGCGTTTAAACGGGCTTTCGAAATAATATTAACATAAAAGCCTTTTATTAAAGCAACGTTGTAAAGTTTAAAATTTTTACTTTCGTTTAAAAAGCCAAAAAGCGTACAAATGCTACGTTTTAAAATCGGAAGGTATTAAATGCCGCATTAAACCGTTTCGGTACCGTTTAACGATTGGAATAACCTTTTATTAAAGCGCTTTTTATTGTTAACGATGTAAAACGAATTGCAATTATCGAATAGCGTACTTTTAAAATAAATGTTTTTTATAATATCGAAAGCCAAAAAAACGCTTTAAAATAAAAGCATTTTAAGCATAGCCGCGTTTAAATTCCATTTTTTTTTTAAAGCTTAAAAACCGGAGCTTAACGCGCTTTCGGTTTGTTTTTTTTAAGCGAAAATTTTAAATTTGCTTTTGGAAAAAAAGGATTTTTTAAATAATTTTTAACGGTTTTTTCCAAATTTTTTTTAATTTTTTTGCACTTTTCGTTATTTGGTTTATTGCAAAAACGTTTGGAATTGCCGGTAAGCACGTAAACGAACTTTTAACAATTTTTCGGCTTTTAAAAATGGTTTTAAATGCAAGCCGAGCATTTATATATTGTTGCGTTATTTTGTTAAATGCTTTTAGCTTTTTCGTTTTTGTTTTTAAATGCGTTTTTGAAAGTTAAAAACGCAAGCTTTTTTTTAATGCCCGAATTATTAATGCGGTGCTAAAAAAGGATCGTTAAAAATTTGGTAATTAAAATATCCATTTTTTCCGTAAAATTGCCCGTAATTACTTTTTAACGGTAATGCTTTGTTTAAAAAGGGTTAAAGCGCTTTATATATTTAAAAAAGTTAAACATAAGCGTAAAGCTTTGTATTTTAAAAACGTTTTTAATTTTGGCTTAAGTAAAAATTGTTTGGAATTTTGGAAATTATTAATTAACGTTTATAGTGCTAACGGCCTTTTTAAACGTATTGCGGTACTTTTAAAAAATTATTTAAATTTCCATTATAAAAATAAAAGCGTAAAGCGCTTTTAAACAAATAATAATGCTACAAAAAGTAACGTAATTGTTGGTTTAAATTTTTAATTGCGCGTTTGTAAGCGCAACAAAGTTTACGAAAAAATTAATCCATTTAAAAAAGGTTATAATTTTTTTCGAAACGGTTTTATTTGCGGTATTTTTTGCTTTAAGCGCTTTTTTGTGCTTAGCTTTAAAATTACCTTCGGTAAAAACTAAAAGGGCTTGGAAAAGCTCGGGATTAAATCCTCGCGTAGCTTTGCTTTTGCTTTGCTAAGCTTTTAAACGAATTTCCTTTTTTTTGGTCGAAAGGATCGTTTGCCAAACCAAGCGTTTAAATTTATGGTTTTTAACGTGCTTAGCCCGGGCTTTTGCTGCAAAAAAGTTAAAATCCAAGGTTTGGTTGGCTTGCACGTTGTTCGAAAACTTTAAATTAAAGTTAATTTGGTTTTAAATCCTTAAAATTAATGCGTTTTAACGAAACGCCGTAAATTACGTAAGCCATTATTTTTAATTTTTAAATAACGCTGTTACGAAAAAATCGTTATTTGTACTACCCATAATTGGTAGCAACCGGAAATTCGTAAAAATAAAGCGGTAAAAAATAAAGGGTTAAAAGCTTTAAAAGCGTAAAAACGTAAAAGTTAAAAAAATGGAATTTAATAAGGGTTTTTGGCAACGTTCGGAATTAATAACGGAATTTGCTTCGGCAAAAAAAATTTTGTCGAAGGAAGTTTTAAAAGCGTAAAAATTTTTCCGTAAAAAAATCGCGGAAAGGAAAAGGAAAATAAACGCGCTTAAAGGAGCGCGTTTGGAAACGATTTGATAAAAGTAATAAAAAGGGAATAAATCCGTGCTGCTAAGCCTTTTACTTTACGTTAAAGGGTTTAAAAATTGCCGGGCTTATAATTGTTGCAGGTAAAAGGGATAAGCACGGTGTAAGGCTATTTCGGTTAATATGCTTTAAAAAAGAAAGGATTTAAAATGCAAGGTTCCGTAAGGGCTTTTGCCCTTTATATACACGTAACTCCTTGTCCTCCTTGCTTATTAAGCTTCCTTTTTAACGCTTGGAAGCGTTATACGCTTCCAAGCAAAGGGACCGCTTTTCCGATGCTTTAAGCATTTAATATTTATGCTTAAGGCTTTTTTATAACAGTATATACTGTTTACTTTGTAACAAAAAATAATTAAATTAACGAAATAAAAAAAAAAGCTGCACCTTTGCGCTTTTTTTTTCGCAAAAATTTAAAAAATTTAAATTAAATTACCAAATTTATAATAAAAAGCTTTTCGTTATTATTAAAGCTTTGGAAAAATAAAAGGTTTATTTATATAAAGCAAATTATCAAGTTACAATATATACCAACCACAAAAATTTAGCACATTTTATTACAAACCAAAACCTTAATAAGCGTTAAATCCGTTGGAACCAGTATTTTTAAAATTACAATTTCCAAATTTTATACCGAAAAGGATCGAAAAACGGGAAAGCAAACGTTTTAAGCAAAAAAAACAATTACGAAATCGCTATTCCAAAAAAAACCAAAACGCTTTTAGCTTATAAGCCAAAAGGAACGTT